CACACACAAACAAACAAATATCCTCTATATACATGTACTCTATATTAATTCTAGTAAACTTTACTTACGAAATCGAAGTGGAATCTAATATTTCAATGAGTGTTGTAATATATTCATAACTGACAGGTCAATAAAACAAGACTATACAAATTAAGCAATTAGCTATAGGCTGTGTATACAAACAAATAAAATATACTAGATGTTCCAACATGCATAGGGACTAAGTTTGCGCAAAACCCCCACAAAATCTGTTTTTAACATTATAAAATTTATCTATAAAATAAAAGATACCACCTTTGTTAAGTCTTTTCTCCTGAAATTATTAACTAAAGATATAATAAGGACATAACTGCACGTATTTAAAAAAATGAATTAAGGCAGTGCAAAATTTTAAGAATATAGGGTTGTAATATGTTTATCCTACTTAAAACATTATCAGGATCAAAAACTCCTTTTGTAACCCAAATATCTACGACACTATGGCTCTATCTCTATCTACGACAGTTGTTTTCTGTCTATTTTCTGTACCTCAGGTTTATATATAAAAATGTTAATTAAGTATTGAGCAAACTAGGTCAAACATATCCAACTTACAAATTTACAAATCTTAATTTTTTAAATGGTTAGAACAACATTTCTGTCCCATTCTTATATAAAATGTGTCACTTGCTGAAATGTTGAAATTAATAAAGAGCCGTGTTTCAGCACATTGTGAACATTACACATGTATGGTGCTTGTAAGTTATTGTGTGTTGTTATGTTTGTATTTGTTTTTTTCTGCCGAAAATAATATCTACATAATTCATTTTTTACATTCAATTCTAACTGCATTCAGGTATACGATGGGTAATCGATAATATTAAAAAGTCATCCTAAACGTAGAAGTGTATACTTTATCAAATTCTTAAAACAGCGTACAAATGTTTACTATCTTGTTTAAAAATAAGTGACTATTTAATTTGAAATTTAAAGTTAATGTTGAAAATAAAAACAACAAGAACAACACTATATTTTCATCGAGTCATGAAATGTCTGAAACCTGGAGATTGTTACGTGTGCTTGCTATACCATGGCAGCTCTCGAACATTTTGGAATTCAGTCACGGTTTTGAGAAAATTCTACAAGAAGATTATGGCATCATTCGATATACATTAGAATTCCGAGTACCCTCCAAAAAAAATCCAGGATATCTTACAGTAACAGCAAAGTTATCTATAAAAATATTACTTGTAATAAATCAAGTAATATTTTCTTTGGCCGTATAGAAAAGTCACGTGGGTTGGCTACATAGTAGAGGTGTTAAAATATAATTGTAATACACCCTATGTTAGCCATTACAAGTAGTATTTAATGTATAAAGGACTTTCAAAAATGGTTATTATTCAGAGCGGGCGCAATGGTGTAGTGGTAACACTGTCTGCCTTCAAATCAAGAGGTCGTGAGTTCGATCCCCCGCTACTCCACTGAAAGAATTATTGACTTCAAGACTGACAAAATCAGGACATAAACACAGAATGATGGCAACGAAAGATACTGGACAAGACATTTACCGAACAGGAAACAAGTACCGAAAGTACAAGACCGAAGACGACGACCGATAACAGAAGGAAGAATGGAGACAAGAACTGACAAAAAGCGACCAGAGACGGGGACCGAATACAGAAGAACAGAGACAGGGACCGATAACAGAAGACATGGCAACATGCGGACAGAGATGGCACCGATAACAGGAACATGGAGACGAAGAACAAGAAAACGGAGACCAGGACAGATTTGAGAACAATAGTGACGAGAATCGATAACAGAAAAACATGACAACAAAAAAACTGAGACTAGGACCGAATACAGATGAACAGAGACGGGGCCAATAACAGTTTAACTGACAACAAGCGAACAGAGACAGGGGCCAATAACAGTAACACTGACAACAAGCGAGCAAAGACAGGGACCGATAACAGAAGAAGAACTGATAATAAGCGAACAGAAACGTCATCCAATAAAAGAAGAACAGAGACAGGGTCCGATAATAGAAGAATCGAACAGTTACGTCGGACGATAAAAGAAAAACAGTATCAGGGACTGATAATAGAAGAACTCACAACATGCTAACAAAGATGAGGATTGACCAATTGATAACAGAAAAATAGAGATGAGGACCGATAATAAAATAACATGACGAGGACTGATTCCAGAAGATTGAAGACGAAGATCGATAACAGAGACAGAAGAACAAGAAAAAGGAGACCAGAAGTGATTTAAAGTAGAATAGAGACTTGACAGAATAACGCAGAAGAACGAAGACGAGAACCGATAACAAAGACGACGACCGATAACAGAAAAACAGAGACGAAAGAACAGAACATCTGACAACAAAGGACCTGAGACCATGACCGATAACAAAAGAACGAAGATAACGACAAATAACAGAAAAACTGATAACAAGAGATCTGGGGCGAATACCGATAACAGAAGAATGAAGACGACAACCGATAACAGACAAACGAACACCAAAACCTAACATAACTCAGAGAAAAAAGGTGCCTTTAATTAATGTATATTTTGCATGCACACATACGCACGCTGTTCAAAATATAAGTAGGAATCTGAGTAGCCACTCTATATATGCCTGCATAGAGTGCCAGATAAAATACATGAAAGCTCTATATCTAGCAAATATTGCAGGGAAGTGTGAAGTGTTCGCTGCGTAAACCCTTAAAATAGGTCTCTTATGTTTAAATGCCTTAAGATTTTCAGTACTATCTTTAATATAACTTCTATATTACTATTATATTGACCTTTAGAAAAATGTCCGCCATCTTGGATTATTCGGCCATAATGGATTGTTTTGTTGCTTTTTTTAAATTCTGTTTTGGTGTGTTATTTGTTTTAACCTAAACATGCTCTGTGACAACAGGCTTTTCCTTTCCTTAAATGTTTAATTTGATATATCATCCATTTATGATAAAGAAATTTGGCGGCATTTTAGTGGTCATTTCAAATGGCCATTTCACTGGTCAAGATCAAGATCCACCTTTATCGGATTCAGCATACCTTAAATAGGTAAAATACACTAAGATACCACTTGTACTACAAAATGCCTCTAGCATCTTATAGGGAGCCAAATTCTCAAAATCAGCCTTGTCTATAATTCAATCCAATAAGTCAAAAAAAATCATATTAGAGTCTTATAATTCATATATAAAAGTATACTAGCCATCGCCTTAATCTTGAACTACCTAAACAAAAGCTCATTTATACGTAACTTTGCTTAACCGTTTTAAGTTTAACTTTAAATTATTCAAAGCGTAATAGAGTAGTGGTAGAGTATTGCTTCGTGAGTTAAAAGACCCTGGTTCGAATCCTGCAAAGGTTTTTTTTTTCTTTTTTAAATATTTGTCTGTTTTTAGATATTTTTCATCGAACTTGATTTTAGATCCTCGTGAATTTCTTTCACATAATACTATATGAGAACATTTGGTTTTACACAAATTCGCTTTCAACAGGTTAAGTTAAAGGGACTCCACTGGGGTTTTTTGACATGACGGGACTGGAAATATTTTTTTGAGATTATTGCTCCATTTGATGTAGACCTATACTAATAACTTATGTGCAAAATTTCCGATCATTAGCTCAGTCCGTTTTTCTAGAATAATTACTATAATAGTGAAAAGTGACCCAAAATTGAAAAGCGTTTAAACGCTTTTCCCTCAAATTGGACTGAGAATAGCTCAAACATATGATTTTTCAATGTATTTCTTGTGTAATTTCTAGTTATATCTTATTAATATTTCTGTTTAAAGTGCTCATGTTTTATAATCTATGTGAAAATTAAAATGTTACGTTTTAAGCTTTAAATTATAAACCTCAGTGAAGTTCCTTTAAAGACAACGTAGTCGTGATTAGGGTGATTATTGAGCAATGGAAGAAATTTGAATATACAAATGCGCCAAAACTGTTAACTTTTGCTTAACCATTATAAGTTTAACTTTTATTTGTGCAAACTATTAAATAAATCATTATTTCGTAATGGTTCGACCGATTAATGTTCACGTTTTTGTGTCCGAATTATATATTTTAAGGGGATCACTCACACAATTGTCAGCCATCTTTGAACGTATAGGCCTGTCGAGAAGTATATATACGGTCTACAGGACAACCAAACTGGCATTGGCACAAACACGAAGGGGGGGGACTGTCAGTTACTTCTTTACACCTTAAAGCAGGACCTTGGAAACTAACTCTTAGGTATTTTGCATTTGATTTTTCTACTCAACTGATACATATCACAGGAGCTCCCCATTCTATAAATAATTTTGAAATATATTAAGCAAATGATTAAGAAATAAAGGCAAATATACCCCTCTCTACAATAAATAAAAACAAGAAATACAATTTCTTTTGCACGTTTGGTACAAATTTTATCCAATTTCACGCGTGGAAATTCAATGTCAACAAATTGATTTCGCCATTTCGATACACAATAAAAAAAGTATACAAATTACATCCGCTGTTGTCAATGTTAACACAACGGTTGTCTGTGACTCTATGCCCTGACGTCATTGGCTTTACTGCGCCGGGCTGAATTTCAATTATTTATTTTTTTCATATTTAATATTTTCTATAACAATTACTGAAAGAATGTCAAGCTCCTGTGTAGCAAGCAAAAGCACGAGTTAAGCAATAAACAACTAGATCCTACTTTCTAAAGTGTATTTTAGCCGCCTCATGACAAAACCAACATAATGGGTTGCGACCAGCATGGATCCAGACCAGCCTGCGCATCTGCGCAGTCTGATCAGGATCCATAATGTGCGCTATCAGTGTCTCTACTTATTATAGGGTTTGTAAGCGAACAGCATGGATCCTGGTCGATGCTGGTCAGAAACCCATTATGTTGTTTTTGTCAAGACACAGCAAATTTATGTTTTAAAATTCAAATACTTTCTTTACTTTACCAGAAATTCAAACAATAAGATATATTTTAATTAATTTCATTCATGAATAAAGTAAGGGTGGAATCACGCAGTTGGTCTAGATGACGTCACATCCGTTCTACACTTGCAAACCGGACAGTTGTCGGCACCAAGAGTAACTCCAGCGTTACACGGGTAAACACAGCGTATCGGAGGGCACATCCCTGGAGTAGTACTCTAAAGAAAATATACAAAATTGCAAAAATACATAATAAAATTCTGAACAACAGTCGAATTTCAAACATTTTATCATTTGATGATGGTAAACTATAAGTTTATATTGAACTTAAGTCTTAAATTTGAATTCATTGTTTTTCCTCAGATACTGCCGAGTGTAAACAAGAAGAGCTGGACCATTAAAGATGTTAACGAGGTTTTTCTACTTAATTGAATTTTGATGGGTTAAGATATTAACAAGCAATTATAAGCAAAGCTAAGCAAAGCACTTCAGCAGAGCACCTTAATAATTTAACAATTAACAATTCGCATAAGAAATCTAAGATCGCCGAACAAGGCGTATTGTACAAGGACAACGTAAAACTAGCTAGATCTAAGACTTTCTTGATTTCGAGCATATAACTGAGAAACAACAAATGTTATAGTTTTAAAAGTTTTTAAAGATAGCTGCATTGCTTGAGATTAAGTAATTAATAAAAGGTATTCATTTTTAAATATTTATAGATTTTATGAAGAATACAAAAAAAATAGAAACCTGTGAAGTCTGAGTAGTAAAGGAATCGACTTTAGGGCGTTGTGTCGTAGGTGGTTTTGTCGTTACTGGGAAAGTCGTGGTTACTTGTGACGTAGGGTTTGACGTCACCGGAAATGCTGTTTCTGTTCGTTGAGTCGTTAACGCTTGAAAATATAAATGCTTTTTATGTTTAAAATGATATTTGCTGGTTATTAATCAACATTTCCTACTTTTCTTACGAAACTGATATTAAAAAGTCAACAGTTTTGTCAGTGATTAATTTTTTATTAGAATGAAAAATGGTTAAATGAATGGAACAATTTTTTTTAATCAAGTCACTTACTCTGGCACGTGCAACCAAGACAACCACGTGTATCAATAATTATGCAGTCATGCAGACAACTTTCATCAAATTTTGGACAGCTTTGCGTTGGAACTGCAGTTGACTGCAAAAAAGAAATTGTAGGTAAATTCTACAAAGTCATTATCAAGCATAGATCTATTACATAAAATTTAATACAGAGTTGGCCATAGATTTTGAACAAATGAGAGAGTTGAATAAGATTGATATAATTGGCCGACATGTTTTCATTGAATATATGAAACAAAGCTATATACGAACTAGACATGTTTGTCAGTCTTGATATAATTTATGAATTGTCTGCATAGATAGAAAGTATTCAATACTTTTAAGTAAGTCAAATTGCTAAAGATGTCCCACAGAAGACGTGACTTGTTCACATGAAAGAATATCTTGGGGAGGAAAAAACCGGAGTCTAATAAAGGCTGGTAGACTTTAGGAAGACAGAGTCCAGTTTACACCGGAATCACCTACCCCCAAAACACACCCCTCTCCCCGCCTGATGAGAAGAAGGCCGCATAGGCCTGCTATTCAGTTCTTTAAGCTAGATATAATGTTTGAAAACAGAAAGCAGTGCAAATGCAGTACAACCTGTGTCGTCTGGAATTGTGTTGTCAAGGGCACAGTTGTTGTTGTAATGGTAGATATAGGAGTTGTTGTTGTTGTCGTCGTTGTCGGCGTTATAGATGATGACGTTATTGCTTTAGGTGTTGTTGCTACAACATTTAACACAAGGCTTGAAGCAATATTTTAATATTACAAAAAAGACACACACACACAAAAAAACAAACAAAAAAACAACAACAAAAAACGACAAAAAGGTAATTTCAGAATCCATATTAAAAGAGTCAAAGATCGAGAATGAGAAGTGAGGTTCGATCGGGCAGTTTTGAAAACATTGAGTTTTTAAAACTCATCAAGTTATTACTTCTTGTGTTTCGATCCTTCAAACATTCCATTATAGAAGCATATCACTTCTTTGCAAGTTTTAAATCTTAGCCTTTTAGTAGCTACTCAATTTACTCTTGCGACCAGTTCAAACTAGTGCAGCATGATCAGACGATTTTCACTATTAGTTCAGGATGTATTTCCCTTAGAAATATAATGACCGGAATCGTTTCTGGCAAGTCTGTTTAAGGTATTTGAAGCGTGGTCAGTGGTTTTTATACTGCTGTATGTTTTACTAAGAAAATGCGGAACGTCGGTGGTTCGACTCAGGGCCCGTTCGTGCCTGAAATAATGCACGGAAAGGCACCAGAGGTCTTCCTCCACCAGTAAAGCTATTATTTCGCCATATGATCTATACTATGTCGATGTGACGTAAAAACCAATCAAACAAACAAACAAAAAACTAAGAAAGCTGCACGCCAAAATATTTTAAGAAAATCAATATTGAGAAAACGCAGTAAGGGCTGTTTTTGCATATGATTACCGCTTTTTGGTAATTTTCTTTGATTACCGGTGCTGATTGCAATATATAAATTGCTTTTTGTTGTTCATCTCACAGTATTTTACTTTTAAATACATTTCTAAAATTTTCATGAAATTAAACATGAATCTGGAGGAGTGCTGCTTTAAATCATAGAATTCAAACGTGACTACAATATACATGTATCTTTCATCTCAAGTAACCAGACACTATCGTAGATCTACGTGTTTGAAAACATCATAATCATATTGTTATATCTACATGTTGTACTCGATAAGAAATGAAAAAAAAAAGAAAAAAAAAAGAAATATCGCTTCGTGCCTACCTTGACATGTACATAAAACACATCCGTGACCGTCAAGCTTGAGGCAAGTTGGCTCACAAGACATGATATCTACTGCTGGGCAATTATTGGCATTTCCGTTCGTAACATGACTTCCGGTTCCTACTCCAGGTGCTGATGTACTTCCTGTCATGCGCAAAACGTATCATATTCTCAAAGTATTTCTAAGTATATGTGCTACTCTTTTAAGTCCAGTACTTTCCTTTAATGACTTATAAGCAATTATCGAATATGCTGAATAGATTTAGAAAGGGTATAAATTGGCATCAGAATTAGAATTGTATTTATTGGCATCAAAATCTGTATAGCTGTCCTTCACTTCCGTAAATATTCTCATTAATTATAAGTTGTTAATGTTTCTTTTGCAAGTCTTTAAGTCTATTTCTTAACTTTTAAATACTGCATACCTGTACAATAACATGTCAAACATCCCATTCCGTCTATATGTGTACAATCTGCGGAACATTTTGTGTCAAACCAAGGGCAATTATTTCCGTTTCCGGTAGAACCGGAAGTCATGCCATTTGTTTTATTTTGAGCTGCTTGATTCGAAAACAAGAAAAAGTTTATTATTATGTTGATTATAACAAAAGCTACAACATTAATTATTTCATGATGATTGTATGATGTAGTAAATCCATTTTACTTCAAGGGAAAGACGAGTGGTTATGTATATACAGCTATAGAACAGAAGTACGAGTGACTGTCTAGTTTTCCAATATAATATGATAATATCTATCTATCAATACGTTTTTATAAGCTTACTGTATATATTTATGCTGTACAAATTAAACATAAATATTGTTTAAACTAAAATGATAATAATACGAAAATTGACGGTGTTTGTCGACCTTTCACGAGGAATTTATGAAGGTATTAAGCAAGGTCAAATTGATGAAGCTTACAGCATGAACATGAAAGGCAGCCACGTGCGTCTAATTTTGTACACCCTGGTGGGCAATTAGTGTCGTATGCTGCACACGAGTTCGTATTTCCGGTTCCGGTATTTCCTTGCGTTCCTGTTCCAGAACCAGCCCCGTTTACTCCAGAAGAAACTGTTGTCATATATCCGCCATTATTTACGGAATTAGTTGAACCTTCTATTATGACATTACCTTGAGATGTTGATGGAACTGGTGACGACGTTGTCACTTGAAGGAAGATAATACATTTCAAACAATTTACATATTAAATGTTTTATACGACTATAATGAATATTTTCAACATCAATTAACATAGCGTGAAAGTTCACTTAACAACGATATGACTTTCATGTCTTTTTTGTAAGAATTATGAAAATGACGTATTTTATAAATACTACATCGAACGGATGTTCAAATTGAACTACCTCTTCGACTTGTACGATAACTCAGGAAAGAACTATGTGCTTTCCAGAAAATTGATACAATTAAAATAGATTTCTTTTTAAATTACCATCAACTTGACAGTCACAGGAAAGACAACCATTTGTGTCTAGACCAATACATGTTGGATTGCAATGTGCTGCATCAAAAGCTGCACACGTGATCGTCACGCTACTTCCGCTTCCGCCGGATGTTCCGTTCAAACTTCCAGTTCCGCTTGTACTGTTGTTTAAATTTACTGAAATTGATTTGAATGATAAGTTGCTCCATTTTTTACGTGTTCTGCTAATTGCAATATGTAAATGTATGATGGTTATTTTACTTGACTCATCCCGAAAGGAAGACAAAGTTATCAATGAAATCATAAACTTTGAGAAAATATTGCTTATTATTAAACTGAAAGCATTTAATATAAAAAAGGCAAAGCCTCAAAGCGAGCTCGATTTACTTTTTTGGTGAAATGGTAATATGAAATTAGGCAATGCCTATGAACGGGGAAGTCGTTAAAAATTCTTTTCATTCTTTCCGTTTTAAAGGTGTCATTCGGTATTACATGCACCGCTTCCGTTTTCACTCGGAACACTCGACGATTATCATTTATCCGAAAAGTTGAGATTTGTTCCGTTATCGGAATACCCCGCCTATTATCATTGAGTTACCATGTTAATGGCGGCGCCCGACTTGAACTGACACTGAAAATTTCATTGATAGGTATAGAATTCTATATATTTTTCATTGTTTTTTATTTGATTTTCTTTTAAATATTTACGTGTAGTCTATAGCCGGGCAGGTCAAAGCCCGGACCCGCTTCGCGGGCCCGGTCAAAAGTCTTCCCCGTATAAAATAATTCGAAAAGTTGCGACGTGACAATTCAGTGCTTCGGACGAATTTAAAACCACAACTTTGTAGAAGGTACTCGTGTCACCATAAAGCCCGCGGGCCAGCTCTTCTATTAAAATTTTAAAGTTTTTTATATAAGAATTAGCATTCACAAGTTACAATATTGAAACAATACATATAAAAGATGAAAATTATATGCACCAGGCATGTAGCGTAGTTGCATGTTTTTGTTATTTGATATATTTCTTAAATGTGCTCATTAGTGACAATGGTGAAACACCACATACATGGTTATGTTTAAACATATCGCTGGTAAACAAATGAATTAGTATCATTAATTTATATGGTGGTCAACGAAACCAAAAAATACATGTTTATACCGTTACATGTACACGTCAAACAACCATTTCTGTCAACAGCTGCACAACTTCCTGGGCATTTTGTGTCAAAGGGCGGACAACCGTTCATATTTCCACCAGACGTACCTGAGTTACCGCCGCTGTTAACTGAAGAATATATATAATGTCATAATATTCTCAATGAACATTACGAATTATCTTTTCATTGATGAAAAAATAATATAAATTTATGGATAACACTTTTGATAACGTGCATATCATTCATTAAACAAATGAAAAGCATTACAGATGGCATATTTTCTTAATTTTCACAAAAAATTGATATATTGAATCAAAACTTTTTGAAGGAGAGGACTACCACGAGCAACTGGCCCAATTCCTTTTTGCTTTAATGAGTATATTATATGTATACATCTTGAATAAACTAGTTATGCTTAAGTTGAAGCTAATTCTTTTTCACCAAAATAATCAGCGACAGCCTTCACATCCGGGTAGTATGACCAGTTTCTATACTATTGATAGTTAAATTTTTGTATCTTGATTATGAAAACCCTTAAACTTTAAATGAACTGTTCCAAATTCAAACCTGGGCAAAATCCATTGCAAAAAACCTAGAGTTCAAGGGTTAAATGTTCATAAAAGCAGAGAGTACAAGAGCAAGTTATTGTTATTTCTAAAATATAAGAAAAACTGCTTATATTACCTGTGCAAGTGCAGACTAAGCACCCGTGTAAGTCAAAACTGGAACAACTAGAGCTGCATGATGGGTCAAACGGTGCACAATTCACCCCGGCTCCTTAAAATAAAAATAAGCACAACATTAAACGCCGAATAATAAATTAACGTCAAGGTTAGGCAGACAAAAAAAATATAATATGAAATTAGGCATAGCCTATAAACGGGGAAGTCGTTAAAAATTCCTTTCATTTTTCCGTTTTAAAGGCGTCATTCGGTATTTCATGCACCACTTCCGTTTCCACTCGGAATACTCGACGTTTATTATTTATCCGAAAAGTTGAGATTTGTTCCGTTATCGGAATACACCGTCTTTTATCATTGAGTTAAGTTGTAAATGGCGGCGCCTAACTAGAACTGACACTGAAAATTTAATTGATAGGTATAGAATTCTATACATATTTCAAATTGTTTTTTATTTGATTTTCTTTTAAATATACACATGTAGTCTATAGCCGGGCAAGCCAAAGCCCGGGCCCGCTTCGCAGACCCGGCCTTTGACTTCCCCGTATTACTTGTAGGAATTTATCGCCACATAATTTAATTTCACATTCAGAACTCGCCAACGGTTGATCATGCAGAAGGGCCGTTTTTAAGTCAAGTCTTCAATTTTTGTTTTTGTTATTGTTGTTGTTGTTTGATTTATTGACATGTAATAAAAATTGTTGGGATCTCGGATCTCGGACGGCTTGAACTCACGATCCCTTGGTATAGAGGCAGGTACATACCACACAATACTACGTCTCAGAAAGACTACAAAAGCAAGGCGTTCGTAGAAAAAAGTGAGTGTTAATAAAAAAAAATAAAAGTTTAGTTGTTCGATGGGTCGACTTGCAATAAAGAATACAACATTTTTACTCTACTTTTTCGTCAAATGGCATTGCAAGACTTTAAAGACTTCAGCTTCAGTCCGTTACATGTTTGTTTTGGGTTTTACGTCACACCAACACAGTATAGGTCATATGGTCACGTTCTAGTTGTACTGGTGAATGAGTACCACAGGTCCCAATCCGTGCATTATTGAAAGCACGAACGGGCACCTGCGTAGAACCACCGATGTTCCATAAGAGCTAGCTTGATAGCTTCTTTACATGAAAGAATCTAAAGTCACTGTCGGGATTTCAACCCACAGCGATGAGGGGCAAGTGGGTTAAATGTTTGTGGGCTGACCGCTGATCGTTCACTAAAATGCTATAATGGCCTTAGTGTACTGGTTCCAAATTATTTTATCATTTAGTCAATTAAACGCTGCGTCTTCTTCTTAGCACTCACCATTTCCGCTCGGTCCACCGGAAGTTGGGTTCGATGTTGAAGTCACAGGTTTCGTCGTACTAGCTACTAAACTTGTCCCATTGTGTTGCCTCTTGTAATTTTCTTCAATGCATATCAAGAAATATTTTAAAACAACAAAGCCTAAAGTTTATATAAACGTAATGTTATAATTTCATGAAAAGATAACTCTTTAAGTAATACTTCATACGAGTAATTGTGTTACTTCCCTTTACTTGTAACATCTAAAAATCAAAGTTGTAGTTATTACATAGATACATGTATATATACAGGTTGAAAACTCTTTTACCCTTTTCTCATTTTTTAAGTCATATTATAAATTTGAATAAATAAATGAATAAAATGTCATATGATCACTCTAAAATATCTATTCAATCTGATCGTAAGCATGTTTTTCATACAATAAACATATCATACCATAAATTTACATGGCATTAAAAAGTGCATTCATACAAGTACTTATTGCCATACAAACATATGATGACGATGAAAAGTAACAATTTGTAAAAAAAACAATGAAATTCAAACAATATTCATATGAAATACTTATTTCAAAAGATCTTTAAACTTTTGATCAGAAACGTTACACATCTGTAATAACTATAATTACCGAAAAAGTACTGGTTTGCTATTTGCATGAACCTTTTTGCATCTTTTGCTCTCTTTATAATTTGTATAATCATAGTAAATTGGTATTTTATATGGAAGTTGAAATACTACTTTGTTTGCAGTTTGCTACCTTCTCGGCAATTCAGTCTTACTTTCGCCACATGTAGGACATCTTCAATGCTCTAAAACCTATCGTAGCTGATTAACGCCATGTCGTATTTTCGCTTCTTCGCCTCGAAATGCGAAAACATGACGGCACGACAGTCACTTCGTGTTTCCGCTTTTTTCGGATTTTAGATGCAACACAGCGAAAATATCACAAAAGGATGGCGCAAATACTAAACGTAAAATCTGTCGTATATATTAATTTCATCTATCGTATTTTCCATTATAAAAGCATTATCAATCAAATGTTTGAAACTTCATCAGGGCTTAAAAAACATGTATTTCTGAAGCATTATGTGCCTCTAAATCAAAATCATACCATTACAATCTCCGTTACATACAATGCATCCTACATTATCTGTTGTTAAACACGCTATGTGACAGTTTGGCATCAATGGCGGACATTCCACGTGACTTCCTGTCAAAATGGGATTTCATGAAGCAAAAGTCGTAAAGTATGCCACATAAGTGAGAGTTGGTGCGTTGTGTAAATACTTCTTTAACTCTTGTAAGACATACATTTTAGTATTCACTTTAATATACAAAAATGTACAATCTATCTAAGCCGACACAAAATTTTCTAATACTGATGAAATATATTTATACACTTTGGTTTGTATAATATCTTAAACATAAAATTTAAGTTAATACTAACAAATTTGTATTTTGCTAAATCAATATTTTGTAGATTCAACCAAATATATAAACTACTAATTAGAATGCGTAAAAGAATAAAAAGGTTTTTTAGATACATTCATATTCTATAAATAGAACAATGAAATCTACCTCCAGACGCTGATGACGAAGAAGTAGTACCGGAAGTTGATGGTAGTTGATTTGTAGCTGTTGAAATTATAAAAATAATATTTCTTAAAATTTGACATAAATTTAAAATATATAATACACCATAAAATGATTGATAATACACCATAAAATGATGGAACAAAATTAATATGAAATCAGGCAAACCCTATGAACGGGGGAAGTCGGTTAAATAATCGTTCATTTTCCGTTTTGAAGGTGTCATTCGGTATTTCATGCACCTCTTCCGTTTTTACAAGAAATACTCGACGATTAATCAGAAAAGTTACGATTGTTCGTTATCGGAATACCCCGCCTTTTATCATTGAGTTACATTGAAAATGGCGGCGCTCGACTAGAACTGACACTGAAAATTTCATTGATAGGTATAGAATTCTATATGGGTTTTTTTAATTGTTTTTATTTGTTTTTCTTTTAAATATGCATGTCTGGTCTATAGCCGGGCAAGCCAAAGCCCGGGCCTGCTTCGCGGTCGCGGCCTTTGACTTCCCCGTATGAACTCCGAAAAATCCCTTAATTCCAGAATTCCTCAGTTAAGCCCTTATCTATAGTATAAATCCGAAACATCGAATCCCTCAAACCTCGAATTTCTAACTAAGTACCTATCTAAAAAAAAACTTTCGAAATCTCATAATGTATATCAGGTTCTCTCATTGATAATCACCTGAACACGTGCAAACTGGACATCCTTTATCGTCTGTTGTCGTGCATGCTGCTGCACAACTTGAAATGAATTTTGGGCAGCCGTTATTGTTACTCATTGACCCCTGGGAGGCTTGGTTATATCCGCTGATTGATGATGATGAAGATGATGACGATGATGATGATGTTGATGATGACGAACTTCCGTTGGTAGACGTACCTGAATATATTACCGTGTTACGTAAATTTATCAGATAAGATTAAGAGTTGTAAAATAGTTTGTAATATCAATAAAAGAAGGATAGTTCTAGTTTTTTGCCGGAACATATACAGTTACATATACAGTAGCTTGAGTACATGTATTTCAAAGAGGTCATGGACTTAAAACTTTCAGAGTTTACACTGTACACTTTCTTAACAATCTTATAAATACCTGCAACTTCTTAAACTCGCAGTGTTTCAAAATATATAGTACATCTAACAGACAATGAAATGTGTAGACAGCAAAGAGCAAACGAATCCGAAAGTTGCTTACCGGAACCGGAAGTTGCGCAAGTGCAAAGAGGACATCCAAGAGAGGTAAGTTCAACACAGTCCGTTCTGCAGTTTGTTGGAAACGCCGGGCACCCGTTGTTGTTTGAAGATGCTTGAGATGATGATTGCTTTCCAGATGTACCAGGGAACGTTGTGTTATTTGATGTACTTGATGACCCCGTACCCGAACCTAAAATTCACACACACAAAAATGCAGATTATGTAGGCTCTCTTACCTTAAGTCTTTGAGCATTACTTTTATAGTAACTAGCAACGTGTATCAACTTCTTACCTGAGGTACAAGAACACAGAGGACATCCGAAACTATTCAGAGATACACAGTCAGACTGACAATTCACCGGAAATGGGGGACAACCGTTATTATTGCCTGCAGACGAACTGGTTGAATCTGAAATCAATACGGACTAATTAATATGAATGCACGGTATAATAATTATGTGTATTTTGGTTTGCTCTCTATGTATAACAATGTCAGTCTGTTAGAAAAATATTAGGAATTTCACCAAATGATCAACTTTATCTAGAAATTACCTATGCATCTACATAATTATAGTTAAAATACAATTTACTTTTAGTGCATGTGCATATTGGACATCCCTTTGTATCTAAAGATGTACATGATGCATGGCAGTTGTTTGGAAACGCAGGGCAGCCATTACTATTCTGTGATACCTGGGCGCTTGCACCAGACGTCCCACCACTTCCGGATCCGGCACTTCCGGTGTTAATTGAAAATGGCGAATTGACATCTGCAAATATGTCGTTTTATATGTTTTATCATTCAAACATGTATCTAAAATTATCGGTTTTTAGCGTTTATAAGTTTAATGAAAAGAAAGCTATTTTTAATGACATTTAATTTTTTTTTCATCTTCAATTAAAATTAAAACATACAATAAGTTAAAAAGTATTCATTGCATCCTAAAAGAATTCCAAAACATTTTTTGGATTATCGATAAAAAGCAAAACTCAAAAATATATCTAGATATATTCCAATGCAGAACGCTATCATGAAATGAAATAATAACAAGTAAAATCTACTTCCGGTATGCAACTTAGTGAAATGATACTTACTTGTCAAAGATAAAGAATTATTAACACCACCCATATTTGAACTTTGACCTGACTGGCTGCCTGTACCACTTGACGTTAGCCAAGCGCCCCCTGACAGTGTCATGGAGGACCCTTTAGATTGAAATACATGTATCCAAACATTAATTTGTTGATAAAGACAAATGCATACAAAGTTGTCACAGTAACAATATCACTTGCCTGCCATATGCAGAGAAAATGGAAATTAAGGAACAGTTTAAAATAATGGTTGAAGAAATAGAATATTTTATATTACACATAAGATGCGCATTTTAACTGGTATGCAATCTACCGAGAATATGTATCAATTTAAACACAAACATTTGCCTAAGACAATTCTCCTACATTTCGAAACTGTTGAGAAATATTTTCAAATATGTATGTCAAATTGAATACCTTCCTTTGTGCATGTACATATTATGCACCCATTTTTTCCAATAGATAAACAATCAAAGTTGCAATTGGCAACGAGTTTTGGACATCCCGCCATATTGTGACTAGCGGAAGCAGAAGAGCCACTATCGCCATTTTGACCTATATTTGTGGCTCCAGGAAACGGCGCTTTAAGAATTCCACTGCTGTTAGTGTTACTTGCTGCCTCACTTTTATTTATTCCTGAATCATGCAATAAAGCTTTCAAGTTATTATTTAAAACATATATTTTATCAAATGTTTTGGAAAAAAAATATTTTGACATAGTTTAAACACATATTGTAATTGTCCATTATACAATGTTGCACAGTAAATTCAATCTAAGCTCGACATTAGCTTCATAGAGTAAAAGAGAAAAGAGTTTTACAATTAACTTGTAATTAGTAAGTGCAATCAGTCTGTGACCTGCCGTACAATGTTACAAACAAAATACCTAAGCTCTATAAGCTTTTCAGAGTTATAAAGAAGAAGATTTTTACAATTAGTAAGTAATTAGTTATATAATTGCAATCAATCAGCGACCCGTCGTATGTACACAACTTAACACAAGTTAAGTTTTTCAGATAAAGAAATAACATGCCTCGTATAAGAAACTGAACGAATTATATATATATATATATATATATATATATATATATATATATATATATATATATATATATATATATATTTATACGTCGACAACATTAGGGAGAAGTAGTTTAAAACTACCCATTATGGCGAAGAATTTATCTCCATAAATAGTATAAATTCAGAAGTTATTTTTGTTTCAGACGTTAGTTTATGATCTAAATAGAGAAACGTCTTAATCTTTTTAGATATTGACCACTGCATTGTAAGAAAACTTAA